TCCTACTATCTCGGAGAGTGAAGAATGTTAAGTTTAACTTCACTAATCTTAGCCATGTACAGAGTAACTTGGGCCCCTACTATTGTGGCCACTAATACATGGACACTTTCCAGACACCTTTCTGATTGGTGGCTGGCATTCAGAATATGGGGATTCAGTGAGTTTGCTTTATGCTCCAACTGTTTTTCCCCCCCACAAATTACATCAGTTGACACCCACAGGTTGGATCCACATAATCATACCTTGAAAGCGAACTGTTTCAGTTTGTTTGTGTTTTGTCTTTGTGAACAGTTTGTTTTCTGGCTATTTAGTTCAGTTGATAATTAATAGGACTTTCCAAGGAACATGTAGTTAAATCCCATATTGGGTATGAGTTTTTCTTAATAAAGAAAAATAATTTGAAAATGTTTATTAACCTATTTTTGTAAACAACCTGTTCCGAGATGCTATTACACACCTCTAGAGCAGGTGAGACGTGAGTTCGGGCCTTTCAGTTCAGGGGTAGGAATGCTACCATTGTGCCACAAGAGGGCCCCTAAAGTGGAAGGTAAAGCAGACGGAATTGGAATAATATTTATTGATATTTTCCCAAAAAGTGTCCTTTAACTATTACAATCAATTCTCTTCTAAGTTATTTGAAGGTTGGAATTTGTCATTTGTTGATTGTGTAGTTTTATGTAGTTGTTTTTGTACATGTCAACATCTTTTATAGAGAAAGCAGTTAATAAACAATATGTACAATAAATGGAAGAACTTGACATTAGTTAAGGATTAAACAGACCTGTGATGAGTGACTTGAATTTTATTGTTGGCCCTTTGCCAAGAAATTTGTTTGTTTTAATGCAAGCAGCTAATACATTGAAACAAAAATAGAATTTGCTGGGGAAACTCGAGTCTTGCAGCATCTGTTGGGGAAAAAGCAGAGTTAATGTTATGGGTTCAGTGAGGGGTCACTCTTTCTGTCCATAGATGCTGCGACACCTGCTGAGTTTTTCCAATAATTTCTATTTCAGCATCCACAGTTGCTTTTTTTTTGTGTTAGCTAAATACTGTGATACTTGTAGAGGTTGCAACTAAACAGGAAGTGCTCTTCTTCATATTGTGGCCCAAATAAGCAGCCTTCTATGTATTTATGTTTTGAGTTATCTAGAGTCATTCTAGTAGTCACAGTTCTATTTTTTTTTAAGAATAAATGGCTGATTTGTGATCGTTGGAAAGAGACTGTGTATTTTAAAGTGTATATCAACTCTTGCCAATGTCAGTGGAGCAGCAATGAATGAAATAAGTAAACTCTGTTGGGTATTATTCTCTGTACAAGTAACGTGTTGCTACTTTTACTCATTGCCTTCAACTTAAGTCCATTGTTTTCAACATGATTTTGATTTGAACTGCCCGGATTACTGTACAATATGTAACAGTATTTTACTTCCTGTTACAGCAACAGTGTTATGCTGGGGCCTCAGCCTCAGCAGGCTCAGAAGCATTATGGGATCACTTCTCCAATTAGCCTGGCTTATCCCAAAGATGTGGATGATATTTCTACTCAGAGGTTGATTGAAGCCTTGAAACCATTTGGAGTATTTGAAGATGAAGAGGAATTAAACCACAGGTGGTAATATTGAAATGGTAGTGTTTTTTTTTACATATACTAATTTATGGTTTGGATTCTGGTTGAACAATTTTAATGGTTTCTTTTAACATTTCAGATTAGTTGTTTTGGGTAAATTGAACAATTTAGTTAAAGAATGGATAGCAGAAATCAGCGAAATTAAGGTAAAAATACTTTTATTGTTTCAACTGAAATATTTTGTGACTTTAAGTTTTCAGTGGATATCTGGGTGAATTGGGTACTGGGAATTGTAATAGTACTTGTAAAGGAAGTTATCAAAGAAGTGCTGCAGTAATGCTATTGTACCTTACCATCCTAGCAGATGGTACTTCTGTACAAGTAGAATGCCTGATTTCTTTTATTTGTATTTTAATTAATATGGTGGTCAATCACCAAAACATAGTCACTCAATGCAGCAGATTTTCCTTTTTAAAAACAGTGGAAGTTTATGAAACAAAAAAAAAGAAGAAAACATGTAATCCAGATATAGAATAGTTCAAAAAAAAACACTTAACATCCAGCCAAACAAAAGTTTCACTGCATTCCCCGTCACATTTGTGACTAAATCCAGTTAAATTACCTGACTGGGGAGAATCAGCTAGATTCTTTCATAGAACAGTACAGCACAGTAACAGGCCCTTCGACCCATCATTGTCTGAGCGGACTGTGATGCCATTCTAAACCAATTCCATCTGCTTGCACATGGTCTCTATCCATCTATTCCCTGCCTGATCATGTGCCTATCTGAGTGCCTCTTAAATGTTACTATCACCTGCTTCTACCACCCCCCTCAGCAGCGTGTTCCAGCCACCTACTACCTCCGGTGTAAGAAAAATCTTCCTGTTGCATCTCTTTTTTAAACTTGTCCCCTCTCATCTTAAATCTATGCACCCTAGTATTTGGCATTTCATTCCTGGAAAAACAACTCCAACTATCCACCTATCCATGCTTTTGGTAACTTTGTTTTTTCTGTGAAGTCTTCTATGAATAGTCTCATCGGAAAGCTTCAACTTTCTCAACTTTTTAATCACCTGCTGACCTCCAATCAGACGCTTCTGGTCTGGAAGTTGCCCAAATTTAAACTGTACTTGTGAAATAACTGTGCTTTCCTTGAGCTGATCTCTCGTCATCTTTTTTGTTCAGGTGAGAAACTATATTTTCTTCCAACTCCAGCCTGGTGTTATCCAAAGCTTCCAAAAACTCTTAACTTCTGGCTTTTCCCTGGTATACTCTAAACCAAAACCATATGAATTGTTCTGTCTTTCCACTCCTTATCGTAAAGCAGCATACTATCAACTAGTTCCATTAACTCTCCAGGGGTACCTGCTCCCTGACATACTGCTTAGGTCAGAAAGTACCACCTGACCTATTGTTTCTTTTTAAAACACTTTTTAAAAAGTAGTCAACCCTGTATACCAAAATTTAAAATCAATCAGACATTTTTCATAGTTTTTATTTCAAATTTCCTCCATCTTGAAGTAGTTTTCTTTTGTCATATGCTCTACTACTTTGTAAAATTTGATGTTTATTTTAGGTTATATTTCTCTCGGGGTCAGGGGGACAGTTTTCACTCATCAATTTAGGTTCTACAAAATTACACAAGCGGATGGGAAGACAAGCAGTGAGGATGACAGTCTGCAGAGGGATATAGACAAGTGAGCGGGCAAAACTTGGCAGATCGTGTTTAATGTGGGGAAAATGATGAGGTTATTCACTTTAGCAGGAAGAATAGAAGAGCTGAATGTTATTTAAATGAAGAACAACTGTAGTAAACTATGGAACCAGAGGGATTTGGGAGTCCATGAGTCATAAAAAGTTAGCATCCAAATTTGGTGGGTAATAGGGAAGGCAAAGGGGGAAAAAAGTATAAAGGTAAGGAGGTTTTGCTAAAGCTGTACAAGGCACTAGTTGGACCACAGGTGGAATACTGCGAAAAGTTTTATTGACTTTATTGAAATGTACAAAATTCTTAGTGGACTTGACAGGGTAGTGGAAAGGTTGATGCCCCCTTGTGCGAGAGTCCAGGACCATTGGTCATAAACAGAATAAGGGTTTGCAAAATTAAGCCAGAGACTGTGGAATTGTTTTACCACAGAGGGCTCTTGAGGCTGAGTCATTAATATATTCGAGGCTGAAATAAACAACTCTTGATTTCCTTTATGGATTAGAATTTTTTGGGGAAAAGACAGGAAAATGGAATTGATCTCCTTGAATGGACTAGACTTTTGAAAGAATTGGAGAAAACAGTAAACCTGTAAATTGAAAAAATTCCTTGCATTTTGCTAAAATAAACCGTACGGATATATTTGAGCACATCAAAAAGAATATTTAGATACTGGATGTGCATAATTCCTTCCCCAAATAGGATGGGGAATAAAATGCTGGATCATCTTTTTGAGTATAGAAATTGTGTTGACTGGTTTAAATTTTCATTCTCAGAATCTACCAGCATCAGTCATCGTAAATGTTGGTGGAAAAATATTTACATTTGGCTCATACAGGCTCGGAGTTCATACAAAAGGTATAATTCAATTATTTTATCTAATTGCTGAAATAGTAAACTGTTTAATGCAATTGTCGAACTTACTGACCTGAAAAAAATGTTTGCACTTTCTTGGGTGCCCACATAACTTGCAGGTGCTGATATTGATGCACTATGTGTTGCTCCACGTCATGTAGAAAGGAGTGATTTCTTCCAGTCATTCTTTGAAAAACTAAAGCAACAAGAAGGAATCAAGAACCTGAGGGTAATTTATTTCCTAAGTATTGTACACTGTTGACTCTTTGCATAATGTTATTATGGGTTGTTAGATTGATAGTAGAGCACGCAAATGTGTAAGTGTTTTTGCTGAATTGTGATAAGGGCTCCTTAATTTTTATGTTTAAATACTCAGTCTAACTGTTCTAAATGTTTAGTATATTTAATGTGATTCTCCTGCATAAAGTTCTGCATGCTTCGTATTTGAAATAGAGATTGGAAACTAGTTTGTCTCTGTAGTGAAACTAGATTATCTTTGTATTTAATGGCTCTTCCCATGGACAGCTTTTCCTTCCTTAAACTGTTATTATGCCCCTATTTCGAACACAAGTTTGCTTCCCACCTCCAACTATTTCTGGTTATTCCTATATGAATCCCAAAATAGCATGCATACTATGCAGTGTTCCTCCATGCTGTTTGACACACAACATTGCCACCCTTTTCCTATTCCAGTTTTGAAAAAGACCCTTTGGACACAAAACATAAACTGTTTTTCTCTCCACAGATGCTATCAGATCTACTGGGTTTCTGCAACATTTTCTGATTTATCTTCAATTTCCAATGTCTGCAGTATTTTGCTTTTATCTTTCCCTATTAACTTTCCTCCATCCTTCATAGGAATTCCATCATGCAAGAGAAGTTCTGCCCATCCAAGCTTAACAAACAGCTAGAGCAGTAGCTCCATTTCTTGCTCTTTGCAGTCATTTACAGGCCCCCGTCTCGTCCCCCATCTCATCCCTCTCCCCCTGCTGTAACCTGCGGTTCCATACCACTGCGCTCTGCACGGCCACTATCTCTGGACACTGTACTATGTTTACTACTTTTCGCTGACATAAAAGTATACCAGAGCTTTGCCTTTACTTTGCTCTTTGCCACTCAACTTGTCATTTTCTGAGTCTGTCATCATGTTTCACTGTAAACTTTGTAATTCTTATTTTCGGCTGCTGCCTGATTGGATGGGCGATGCAGAAACTCGGAATGCTGAGCTAGAGCTGAACTTCAAGAATACCTGTTAAAACCTGAAAAATTGTTCGCTTCCATCCTCCGCTTAATTGTTGCTATCTTTAGTTACACTTTTTTAACCTTAATTATTTGTCACCCCTCACATTACCCTGTATAAGCCCTCTTCTGAAAATTATCTGCCCATATCACGTCCTGCTGTTTATCAGCATTCGTCATTTTAAATAGTAAATTGGTGTTCCTTAGTGCCTCAATCAGGATTCTTCAATCTGTTTGGTTGAGCAGATGTGTGTTACATGGAAGCAGTGAGTCTTGGTCCTGAAAGACACCCAGTCTACCTAGGAAAACCCTGGAAGAGTAAGGTATCTCAAAACGTTGAATAGCAGTTGAAGCTGGCTGTAACATGCTGCTCCTGTGCCGTAGTATCCCTGGCGATGTTTGTCATTAACTGGAAGCTGCCAAAAAGACTTCTGCATATCGCACAGATTAGTAATGTGCAATATAATTTCATTGACCAATATACCAGGCAATACATTGGCAATCATTCCAAAGACTGGCGAGTCTAATTGCACAGCATATCCCTTTTGGCTGTTTGCAATCAGGCATGGTGCTCAATGTACCCAACTAGCATACCCTTGCAAAACCTGGAACATAGGGTCCAATGTTAGATATGCTTCTGCAATTAGACAGTATTTGCCAGATGATCCCACGTGTGCAAAGAATTACACTGGCATGCAATTTAGGATTCATTCGGACTTGCAGCATGGTGCACTTCTAGACACTAGAAGCTACATGTTGTATTACATCTATTAAGTCTGGCAGCTACCTATAAATCAGTATGAAGGGTGCATTCTCCATAAGAATGCCTCTGCCAGAGTCCACTTGCCAATTAATCAGCATTCTCCTCTTGTGCAGTATAATCTTTTCCCCCTTTAATTGGTTCTCTTCACAAATCCCCTGACCAGTGGGAGAGAAAAGTTTTTGAAAAATGTCTTTTTTTTTCCAACAGTACTCCAGTTCTGAACTAGCAATATTTTTAAACATGTTGCCTATGGATATTGGAACATGATCTAACTTTATTTTCCTTTTGCTTCACAAAGGTGTTTCATAAATCAATTGAGAACAAATTTCGACTTTAAAATGAACATTTGCTATATAGCAAGATTTTCCCATCTTTCTAAAAAAGTCATTAGACTTAAATCAGCAACTTAAAAGTTGATTTTTTTTTTTTTTTCCCCCATCCTCCCCATGCTTCTTTATAAGATATTGTGTATTTTTTTTTGTGTGAGCAAGGGAGCAGCCTTACCTGGAATTTCACCTTCTTGAACTCAATCCTTATCTGTATGTAATAGAAAAAAATGTGAAAGGTCTAGCCAAGAATTCTCTCCCTTTTTTTTTT